GGAAAAGAGGGGGAGACGTTTAATGGGTTGCAAACCTGAATGAATAACTCATGGCTCCAAGTTCTAGAAAAAGTGTATTCCACATTGTAGGCGGGGGAAGGTTAGTATTTTACTAAGATGGGTTGCCATTCTTTGGCAGATACTCAGTAATGGAATATGCTTTAATCTTACCTTTATGAATCTCATTTGCTTATTTAATGGTTATAAGTAACCAGTCACTACACATCTTTGGTGTAATTAATTGCACACCTGCTGGAGAAGGCCCACACCAGTCCCCATCTCAGGAGGCTTAGGGGGAGAGGATCGTCCTCTATGACACAGCCTGACCATGTAGGAGCCCTGGGGAGAGCCAGCAGCAGGTCCCGAGCACTTCCCAGCAGTGAAACTGGGGCAGAGCCTGACACGTGCATGAGGAGAGATATTATTTGGAGAGCTGCAATTTCACAGGGTATTTGGAGAGCTGCAATTTCACAGGGAGCCCTTGCATAAATACGATGCCTATTTCATCAGCGCTACCTCCTCCCTGCCCCCTGCTCGAGGGCAGGCGTCTACACTAAGGATGGTGAGCCTGCTGTAAGCCTTTATTGCACTGGGTTTAGATAAGATTCTGCAACAGGACTTTATTCCACACTGCGTCAGTCCAAGTTGTCCCTCTCCAGCTTATCTGACTTATTCCATCCTGCCTTCTGCCCCATCAGTTATCCCACTACAATATGGGACTTTTCCCTGGTCTCTGCTGAGGCCACAACGGGACAAGGCTGGAGGGAGGGATGGGAGCAGGAGCTGCTTTCACTGGTGCCGCAGAGACGAGAAATGTCCTTGCAACGACAGCCTCACACTGCCATCAGAGAGAAAGACCTGAGCTTTCAGTTCCTGGATGATAAAGGTGTTATTCTGCAGGCACCTCACTAGAGGTGATGGTTTAGATGTGAAAGTCTTTCTGCTTCATTATCAATTTTCTGAGCTGGTGGTTTTCAACTCTATCCATTTCTGAACCCTTTACAATATTCCAGCAGTAGTGCAGACCCCATTAAAACACATTTAACTTCAGAGATAATACTTTCCTCAGTGGAATGCTTAATGAAAAGTAACATCTCCAGTCAATTTGCTTCATTTGAACCCCATCTTTGAGCTTAACATTAAACTTTCAGTGGTTGACCATGTCTACTTACAGCTAACCAGCTCCCCTCTCTGACCTCCTTCACTCAGCTGTGCTTTTGCAATACTAGGAGAGAATCTTTGTATTTTCAAATGGTTTCACATTTTTCTGCAACGTGTCCTGAATAAAAATTTCAAACATATGCAATATTTTGATTGCCCATAGCAGTCAACAGAAAGAAAAGTCTGTCTGGAAGAGCTAGGCCAAGCTAATTCTTGTCTAGTGACTTCCACATGAAAGATGGAA